AAAAAAAAAAAAATGACTGAATATTATATTCAGATGTTTTTCATACAAACTAATAGATATTTAATGAGCACCTGCTGCATGCCAGGCCCTATACTAGGTACTAAAGATACAAAATGCTAACACAGAGAGCCTATACTCCAGTTCTCTGTCTAGTCAAAAAGACATGCACACCTGGCCAGATGGCTCACTTGGTTGGAGCATGTTCCGTACACCAAAAAGGTTGCAGGTTCAATTCCCAGTCAGGGCACATACCTAGGTTGCAGGTTCGATCCCTGGTCAGGGTGCATACTGGAGGCAACCAATGGATGTTTTCTCTCACACTGATGTTTCTCTCTCTCTCTCTCTCTCTCTTTCTCTTTCCCTCTCTCTCTCTCTCTCTCTCTCTCTCTCTCGTCCTTTCTAAAATCAATGAACATATCCTCAGGTGAGAGTTAAAAAAAAAAGAAAAATACATGCACAATATAATGAATATAACTATAATACACACACACACACACACACACACACACACACACACACACACACAAGCTCCTTACCCCTTATTACCAATTCCAAAAAATTCAAAGAGCTCCAAAAACCAAAAACTGTTTTCTGTTGTCAGCAAAACATAGCCTAACTAATGTGAGGCTTTTTATACTTTTTTAAAAAATTCCTCTAAGTGTGAATATGTATAATTTTGCTAGAAAAATTAATGTGAATGATTATGGAGTGATTACTCCTATCCATAGGAGATTTCATGATATATAGCATATGCACCTTACTAATTTTCTAATTTCCAAAAACTTTTTACTTCTGAGACACATATGCCACCATGAGTTTCAGATAAGGGGCTCTAGACCAGGTCTGGAGGATGCAAAGATGGATTATTTTAAGGAGCAAAAGAGTCAGTTGAGGAAGGTATAAGTTATATAGTTAAGTGTAGCATTTAGAAAAAAAGTTTTCTTATTCTAGGCTCCAAAACACTACACTTGAAAATTTTAAACCAATCCTTTCATACAACCACCAAAAACGTCTTCTAGTATCTCTACAGCCTCATTTCCTTGTTTTCAAAGACCTGAGCTGACAAACCTTATTTAGTAATATTTAATTCCCCAAAGAGATAAGTGCATTACTATACCAATTTTGTATTTCATCCACAAAGTATAAACTTTCCGTATTATTAGCCCATACAGCCTTAAACCAAATAAATGTACAAGTTCCATTAGGTTTATTCTTGATTCAGTCTTGATTATGTGGATATGATCAACCACACTGCAGATTATCCATAGAACATATATAGTAGATTAACTAAGTGCCAGGCATTACCTACTCATTTTATATATATGTTACACATATATTCCTCAAAATAATTTTCTGAGATAGCTACTATTATTACTTTCATTTTAAAAATAGAAAAGTACTGTGAAATAAGTAAATAACCAGCGTGACATTATAACACACATCATTAATAACAGAGTATGAGCTTTGAGAAAACATTTACAATAGGGATCTGTTGTTATACTGACGTCCTTCCCAAACTCACTATTATCCCAATTAACAGAGAATTAATGCTACTAGAATCACTCCTACAGGCCCTCCCCACCCTCAAAGCTCTCCCTCCCCCACCTCTTTCCCCTCCCACAACTAACCCCAGTCACAACTTCTCATTTCTAAAGTTCTAGTACACACACTGTACATTATTGCCATTCTAATGATCTGCCCATGTTAAGAGGTGTCTTAGACCAGCTAGCTGTACAAGCACCATTCCTCAGACTGGTGCTGATATAAGACAAAGCTTTCTGTGGTCCCAAACAAAAAGGTGGTGGAGCGCAGACAATATTATTATTGTGTTTATACAACACAAATTATCCAACTTAAAATATCATCCTTCATTCTGAGGTTGTCCATCTTACTTTTTCAGTATTAAAATATGATAATGATGACCAACACTTAGTTTTTTTGTTGCCCTTACTGGCCAAATAAAAAGTCAGTAACCTGCCCTGGCCGGTTTGGCTCAGCGGTTAGAGCGTCGGCCTGCGGTCTGGAGAGACCCGGGTTCGGTTCCCGCTAAGGGCACGTACTTCGGTTGCAGTTTGTCCCCGGCCCTGGTTGGTCGTGCGGGTAGCAGCCACTCGATGTGTCCCTTTCACATCGATGTTTCTCTCTCTCTCTCTCCCTCTCTCCCTCCCACTCTATCTGTACAAAAGATGGAAAAATATCCTTGGGTGAGGATTAAAAAAAAAAAAAAAAAAAAAGTCAGTAACCCAGTCAATCCCCACCTCAAAAAACTGTTAGGTAACAAAAAATAAATAAACCTACCCAGTATGCATGAGGACATGGAGGACAGGCATAGGCAGGAAATAAAGGACTGAAAACTTGCAGGGTCAAATGGAAGCAGATACTACTTTTACATTTAATAGTGACAATTAAACTTAGAGATTGGTCCAGCACACAAGTGCTAACAAAATAAATCTTCGCAGATTTCAGTATCTTATTCAGAAGCAATTACAAACACTGAAGAACTAATACTAGGTCTTCATTTCTAAACTGGGAAAAAGGGGAAATTTGAAAAAGGATTACACATTTGAATTTTAAAATGAAAGTAAAACTCATAATTTTCAACAATAGGAAATGAGACATAAAATAATATAATTAATTTACCTTCTAAAAAAGCAGCATACAGAAGATTGTTAAAAGTGTGTACTCTAGCATCAGCCAACCGGAATCCTAGCTGAGTGTTAGCTGTGTAAATCTGAGCATGTGACTTATACCCTCTCCGGTTCAGTTTCCTTAAAGGTTGTTGTGAGGATTAAATGAGTTAAAGTAGTTACTAAGTGCTTAGGACAGTGCCTGGCACTTAGTAGCTACTTCAAAAGTACTGTCATAAATACTATTTAACAACATAAAGAAACAATGGTAAAGTAAGAACTGATGACTATAAAAATTACCGTATTAAAAGCAGTTGATGTTATACTTCCATAAAGTTATTTTAAAGTTAAGTACAACCATTTTTATGTACATAAGTATTTGATGTAATGTGTGACACTTTTAAACTTTTCAATTTATGGTGGTGGTCGTGTTTTTTTTTTAATACATTAGGAAAAAATCTGAATCCAGTTAGGATATCCTTAACAGGTGGGGAGACCCTTAACAAGTTTGCTTCCAAGGCTCTGGATGACAATAATCAACAGAGGCTGCATTTGAGTGGAACAAAAAGCACACACTCAATATTTCCACCAATCAAAGAAACTTTTATCCCAGCAGTGCATTCAGAGACTTAGGTTGATAAATCCACCTACCTATAGCTGAGCAATGATTGCTAGCTGCTAGGACAGCAAGCTTCCATGGTAAATTCACACACCAGGTGATAATTGGTACCACAGGGCATGCACACCTGGTCCCTGCACGCCTCCTGATAGGGGCATCTCCCCCAGTTCTGCTGTTCCCTTCCCTGGGACAAACTTGGCCTGCTCACTCTGCATAAGGGATCTCCCTAAAGGAAGCCTTCTCAGTTCATTCTATTATTTGCCCCTTCTCTCAAGCTACCTCTACACCCAGGGTGAATTATTAAAATGCACTTGTTCACTGTTAACATCATTTTATTTCTTAGCACACAAGTTACCTACATCCTTGCTACTCAAGGATGGTTCCTTGTCTAGCAGCATCCAGAAGTTTATAAGAAATGCAGAATATCAAGCTGAATCACAGATCTACTGAATCAGAATTGGCATTTTTAAACGAGTCCCAAGGGATTCCTATGCACATTAAAATTTTGAGAAACCCGGTTCTATATGCCTCTACTGCAGATAGTTGTAAAAATTAAAAATGCTCAATTTTACATTTTAATTCAGAGATATGTTGTGAAAATTACCAAGATGTGGAACCAGAAAAGCTCATTATGAGAAATAACCAACATATAATTGAATTTCTTTACCACTATTAATCAGAAGTGTTGAAAGATTTATACTATTTTCAACAATGCCTACAGGTAATGATTCCTGCCTTGAGTCACTATTTTGTGCAACACAAAATAATATAGTTTTATTAAGACTATATCGTATTGTCTAGAGTACAAAAGACTGACTGGGTCTAGAAATTTCAGCTCAATCTGGCCCAAAAGTGCATGCTAAAATTTCGGGATTCAGTCGACAAGTGAAACTTTTCACAGAAACGCATTCAGAAAAAAAAAAAAAATCTTAAGGATGCACACTTTAAGCATAGATCACATTCCTGGAACGAAAACTTTGAACACTAACACTGTCGAACCGAATTGTTCTGGAGGTTTGTGTCCCTTTCTCCAGGAAATGTCGGAGGGGGGTGTCGTGGGGGAGGGGGGACACAACATTCACCTTCATCAAAGTTTTTCTCCTATCCTGAAAGGCCTCAACGTGCATGTTCCTACAAGTGAATAAACTTAAGTCGTACTAAAACAAGGTCACGTTTCTTCCCTCAACGGTGAAACGGCTTCTCATTCTTCTAAACGCTGCATTTTAAAAGATTTAGGACTGCGGGCCGGTCTCGCTTCCGGCCTGCGAAGGAAGCGTGCTACCCAGGGCGGAAAGGAACGGGGGCATTTACCAAGTAGGAAGTGGAGCCTGGTGCAGCCACCGTGCTCTGCCCTCGTGCTGCAGCTGGCCTTGCAGCCTAGACCCCGGCCTCCCGAGGGAGGAGGCGGGCGGGCAGCTGGGGGGCAGCCTCCGCGCCCTGCCCGCCCTGGAGCTGGCAGAGCCTCCCCTCCCGCCACCCAACCCCCACGCCGATCCTGGAAGCGCATACACCGGGGGCTGTGCAACTACCCGTCCGCGGCGGCGGCAGCGGCGGCGGCAGCAGCACCCGCACCCTCAGGCCTTCCCGTGAGGCGGAGGCAGCTGCAACAGCGACGGGAGGGGAGGCGGGACTCGTCCTGAGAGGCTGAGGGGAAGCCGGGGCGGGAGCCACTGTGGTCGGGGATGCTCTGGAGGAGGGCGGAGGGGCTCAGAGGGCTGTTTTTTTATGATCATCAGCATCATCATTAGTTTTACCTGTGGCGCAGAAGGGCTCCCCAGCTCCTACTCCCTGAATCCTCCTCCCCTCCTCTTTCTCTCTCTCTCCCTCAGTCTCTGCCAGGCGCTCGTGGAACCCGCTGGCCCGACCAGAAAGAGAACAGGGCGGGAAGGGTGGCGGCGGTGACCAGCGACCACGTGACCACGCTCGCGCCGTAACGGCGGCCGCTTCCTGCCGCGCGCCCTCCCCGCGCTCCACCTCTAATAACCCCGCGGCTCGCAGGTCCGGAGCGCTCGTGCGCAGGCGCCCGCCTGGGCCTGGAGACTGCGCGGGCGCGCGACGCGCTTGCTCCCGGGGCCAAGTCTGCAGGGCCCCACGAGGCTCGGAGTGGGGAGTGAGCCACCGACCCAAACGCTCCGGTGCTGAGTCGGCCGGCTGCGGGGGCGCATGCGCAGGAGGTTTTTAAAAACCGTTTTCCTCTCTTAACCCTCTTCCACCACCCCACCACCACCAGCACGCAGCTGGCGTCTGGGAACCAGCCCTGGGACTTAGCCACGCACACTCACCATTACCTTTCCAGGGTGACGCGGAGAGGAAGAAGAGTGTCAGCGCCCGGGACCCTCCCAGCCTAATAACTTACATTTCCTTGTATGCAAATAGTCTTCCTTTAGTTTTCTATAGCTGAGTAGACTCCTGTACATGCTTCAAGACCCAGCTTGTCTGTCACTTCCTCTGTGAAAGGTGCCTTTCTCTGTTTTGGGGGAGTATTTTTAACCCCCAATAACTTTTACATTTCTCTATTTATATAACTTATATTTATATAAATATTATTTATAGAGAGAAATATAAAAGCTATTTTTTTTGGCAAACCCTCAGTACTAAGCTGAGATGTTATCTTTTCCACATAACCAGCATAGTATGTGTCTTTAGCATTGTGGTATCTCAGTAAAGGTCTGATAACTATCAGAATGCAAGCCATGTCTAAAACCCTGGGTCTTGCCCTGGCCGGTTTGGCTCAGCCCTTAGAGCTCCGCCTGCGGTTTGGCTCAGCGGTTAGAGCTCGGCCTGCGGTCCGAAGAGACCCAGGTTCGGTTCCGGCTAAGGGCATGTACCTTGATTGCAGTTTGTCCCTGGCTCTGGTTGGGTTATGTGGGTGGCAGCGACTCGATGTGTCCCTTTCACATCAATGTTTCTCTCTCTTCCTCTCTTTCCGGTCCACTTATCTGAACAAAAGATAAAAAAATAAAACCCTGGGTCTTTTTGCTCTCCACTTGTGCTTAATCGTGATTTAAGATTCCCTTTAACCCAAGCACACGTGGAATGCTGGTGTTTGTTTCCCCAATATGAAAGCCTTTGAAAAGCAATGCTAATTAGAATAGTAAATGCTTCACTTACTAAAAAAGATTTATGATCTTTTATTAGCCTATCTTCACCAAGAGCTCCAAAGGAAATTGATACTGTTGAGTCCAGCAAAAAGAAACCAAGGGAGAGAAAGGTCAAATTTCCAAAAGTTAGCTAGCTTCAGAGAGGGTCCCTATGTTGTGAGACCTTCCTTCACACAGAGATTCCTTATTTTCTGTTGCCACCCTGATGTAGAACCTGATCAGGTTAAGTTAGTGCTTCTGGCCAGTTTTAATCAGGGCAAATAATCAAATGTAAAAACATACTAACTGGCCGTTCTGGCTAGACCAGTCATCATTACTGTAAAACTAGTGAATACTGACATGATGTTCAAGAAACAGAACTGCCCTGGCCAGTTTGGCTCAGTGGTTAGAGCGTCGGCCTGCGGTCCGGAGAGACCCGGGTTCGGTTCCCGCTAAGGGCACGTACTTCGGTTGCAGTTTGTCCCCGGCCCTGGTTGGTCGTGCGGGTGGCAGCCACTCGATGTGTCCCTTCACGTCGATGTTTCTTTCTCTCTCTCCCTTCCTCTCTCTCCCTCCCACTCTATCTGTACAAAAAATGGAAATATCCTCGGGTGAGGATAAAAAAAAAAAAAAAAAAAGAAACAGAACTAACAACAAAATCCCAGAAAAGGGATTTTGGATAAAGGTTGATCAACAATATTAACAAGGGCTTCTGAAAAACTAGGAAAATCATGTTGGGAAGGAAAATTTTTCTCTCTACCTTTCTAGGTTCTTTGTTCTAATCAAATTAACATAACAGATTAACAGGAGACAAACAAATTTAATTATATACAGACGGGGTTTCAAAAGAATGAGACCCAAGGCAAGTTGGACAGTTGAGGCTCATACAGTAAATCTTCACTTAATATTGTTGATAGGTTCTGCAACTTTAAGTGAAACAACATACAACAAAATCAATTTCACCATAGGCTGATTGATATAATCAAGATCCTAGGGCATTTCATCAACATTATAACAAAATGACATTGAAAGAAATAACATCAAGGACCTGCTGTATGCCATTCTGAGCTAAGAACTGGGAACAGGGCTTAAAGGAAGGAGAGGTAAATGTTTGTCTCGACATACAGATAGATCATTCAGATAAAAAGTTATGTTTGGTAATAGTTCTCTTTCTGGGACACCCGGTCTATCTAAATTCTTTCAGTAATTTATGGACAGGTAAAAGTTTTTCTTGAATCTGCTGGCCTTGATTGCCTTCAGAGAGCCCACAGTGCCAAAGTGGCACATTTTGGGGAGGATTGTTCTGGACTCCTACAGTCCCAATCCTCAAAACTCCAATCTCATATGTCTGCAACATTGACTGACACTTTTTTGCATTCACCAATGTATACACTTATATAGTGAGCCCACCAAATAGTTTGTTACTACCTAGTTTATGCTAACAGCTTCCTACTCTGAATATTTAGTCCACGGTTCAGACTCTGTGGGAGAATATTATTTTGGTGGTTCATCATGAACCATGGCTTCCCAGGATTCACGCCCTTGTGTAATCCTTTCCCTTTGCATCTGGGCTGGACTTCTGCCAAGTCCAGTTCTTGGCAATGATTATGCCAGTTCTACACTTAGGCCTTAGGAAGGCTTTGCAGTGACCACATTGAAATAAGTCCCTCTCACCTGTCTATGTTCTAGGAAATGGCTTACCAAAAAAAAAAAAAAAAATTCTTCCCCATATGACTTAGATGAGATTCACTATCCACTCTTTCTCATAACACTAGAAGATGACTCTTTGTTTACCTGTGACAAAACCAAACACAGGCCTTTCCCTTTTTTCCTAAACCTGTTCACAAACTCAGACAAAAATTCTTCTATTTGTCTTTGTCTTTGTCTCATGAATGATTAGCTGTGGTTAGAATTGTTCATACCCTTGAAATTAGCTAGACTCTCTTAGAGGTAAACAATTCCTGACTGATGGAGACTTCTCCTGATTGTAAATTAATCCCAACTATAGTCAATTCCCCTATAACTTGTCTACCCCGCCCTATAAAAGCATAAGGCACAACCACCTTGTCAAGGAACTCTGATCTTCATCTTCAAATCTGGGTACTCTTCCTATTTCAGTAGCCTAAATAAAATCTATTCCCCTGTTTGTTTGTTGTCTTTGACAGCCACTTCTGTTTTTGCCCTTTGGGGGAAGCACGGTGTAAGAAAACCAACTACTCTGACACTACCATGCTGTGGGAAGTCTAACCTAGCCATGTGGAAGAGGCCAAATGGAGGAAAATAGAGGCCCCTGACTAATAGTCCCAGCTGTGTTCTGGTTGGACACAGCACCAACCAACCACACGAATGAGTGAGTGGATTCTCCAACCTCATTCAAGCTGCCCCAGATGACACCACGTGGAGCATTGCCAAGCTGTTCTCCACCCAACCCAAACTGCAGAATTGTGGGCAAATAAATGTATTGTTCTGTTAAACCACTGAGTTTGGCGGTGGTTAGGTAGCAATAAATAACCAGAACTGACCTAGATATCCAGCTCTCTGCTCAAGATGTGTCCCAAATTGTCCCACCAGCATCTCTAAGTCAACCTTCTCAAACTGAGTTTTTCACATTCCCTCCAAATCTGCCCCTCTTCCCATGCCCCTACCTCCCCTGGTGATACATTATCTTCTCCTCCCTGAGCCCCAAGCAGATCATCTGAGAGCTTTTCTTGACTATTCCTTATCCTGCAACATTCAGGCACACCAACATCTCACTTCCAATCCTCATCATTTCTCTCCTGAACTACTGAGGATTTGTCCATTTCTTCCACATTGCAAAGAAGAGTCACATATGCGCCAAGGTTACCCTAGAGGTTAATTGGCAGGCAGGAAGTGAGGAGATATGGGAAACCAGCCCAGTCATCTCCCATTACCTGCATCCTGGCCATTTCTAGGCTAGGAGGCCCAGCTACGGAGAGCCATAGCAATTACCCCATCTTTTCAGCTACAATAGTATCTCTAGGGATCCAGATCTTCTCTAGACTCTCACATCCTCAGTCTCCAAGAAAAAACTTAAGGGGTCCCCAGGCAGCACAAAGCATACTGACAAGGCTGAGAGTGGCCAACAATCTAATCTAGGAGAAACTAAAGTAATAAAGCTGATCATTAATAACTCCAAAAGATATAAACACTGTCTGAAAATTCATTTTGAGTTATGCCACTTATAATGCAATTCATATTTTTCAAGCTAGAAAAATTAAATTTGAACCAACATCAGCATTGTTAGAATAAAAAACAATTGAGACAGTTTTGCAGCTACTTGTGTGCTAGTTGGTTCTCTGCTTTAGCCTCTGTGTGCATCCTCTCTGTCTTACAGCATGGCAGAAAGTGAAACTCAAAAAATAAAGGAAGAAATGCAAATGTTCTCTAGGAAAGGTAGAAGCTCTCTCTTAGCCCTCTGCCTATTGGGGACACAGCCTGGACCCACTCTGGCTGGGCCAACATCTGCATCTCCTCTTCTCTCCTCCACGCAATTTGCCTGTGTAAATAGGCCACCATCAGTTCCTGAAATTGCCGTAGTGGCCTAGACTAACATGATAACTGATGGACATTCTGCAGGCTGGCAATTGAGATGGCTGTGATAAGATGGGCTATGTGTGAAACTGACATTAGGAATCATCTCCTCCTTTGCTAACTTTTACTTTCATTCATGGGAATACCCTGCTCAGATCGCCTGCTAGAGGGAGCATAGTTGACCTTCACACTCAATTGCCACCTGCAGTATCCACCATTGTATATATGTTGAGGC